AGGGAATTGGGGGAATGGATCCCTATATAGCAGTCCCTTTAAAATCCTAATAATATCCCCCATAATCCATTATTCCATTTCCTTGAAAGCACCAGTGAGACTCGTTCTTTATCAAAAGCCTAGGAGATCCATCACTGCGCGCGAGGATGGGTGCTGCAGGAAGGGCACGGGTGCTGAAGCAGTTCAGCTGCTTGCCTCAAGGATTAAGTTTTAGGATCTAGGCTTTTAGGGTTTAGGACAGGCTTTAAGGTTTAGGATTTAGGGTTTAGGGTTGGGGTTCAGGCTTGGGTCTAGGACGTAGGGTTCAGGATTTAGGCTTCTAGTAGGGAATGCGGCATCAAATGGAAAGCACACGGACAATAAGATTGACACCTGGGGGGATTTACAGACGTTCAGGGTTTAGTGCTTTCTTGCTGGTTGTCAGTCATCAAGAAAGGAGGAATGGAACCCTATAGTAGACCCCAATAACATTCCTATTTCCTTTTGGACTAAATCTAAAGGTGTCATCGCATAACCCGAAGGAATTGCAAAACATAATCTTCTCAGTTTAGGTCTAGAGGGAATACAGTAAATCCCAAATGATATACCCCGAACCCTCAACTGTGCTCACAATACAGCCGTTTCCATGCTTTTTCTTGCTTCCTAAAACCCCAAAACCCTAAGCCCTGAACCCTAAATCCTAAATCCAAAGCTCTAAGCCGTAAATCCTAATCCTAAACTCTAAACCCTACTCCCTAAATCCTAAACCCTATGGTTAGGGTAATGTGGATCATCCCTTAAAGTTACAGAAAAAAAACAGAACAGACCCAAAAGGGAACTGCAGATGTATATCCTCTTCCCTAAATCCTAAACCCTAAACCTTCAACCCTATTCCCTAAATCCTAAACCCTAAACCCTAAATCTGCAAGGCTACAGCCGAATGGGCGAGCATTATCGGGAGTTGCTGGACACCGTGACCTCACAGCCAACCGCTCCGAAGGCAACTCCATCCTTTGTCAACCTAGGGTTTGCAGTCCCCCTTAGGGCTTAGTGTTTAGGATCTAGGGTTTAAGATCTAGGGTTTGGGATCTAGGATTTAGGGTTTAGGGTAGATAGAATATGAGGTATCTGGTGATCTTATGCGATGATATACCCAAAGCCATATTCGATCTACTTAAGAGGGACTATAGAGTTCCGGGTAAACGCTAAGCCCTGAACCCCAAAGCCTAAACATTAAACCCCAAAGCCCCAAACCCCAAATCCTGAAACCCCGAACCCTACATCCTAAAACCTCAAACCCCAGACCCTAATCCTAAAACCCCCAAAACCCTAAACTCTAAATCCTAAAGCCCTAAATCCTAAAACCCTAAAGCCTAAACCCTAAACTCAGTCCAAAGGCACCTCCATCCAGTGAGCTCAAGGGCCGCACTGTGCTGGTGGATATGGACAACACCATTGTGGCTGCTAGGGCTGTTGTTGAGGATGTAGTGTTTAGGGTTCAGGAGTAGGGTTTAGGGTCTGGGGTTTTAGGGTTTAGGGTCTGTTGTTCAGTAGAAGTGTGGCGGATTAGGATTTCGAGCGTTTTTACCATTTTGCCTGCCGGGTTCTTGTTGAACCCGAGAGGTCCAAGAGGGCTGTATGGGGCATACAGGGGAATATGTGGTATCTTGGGTTATGTAGCCCTAAAGGTTGTTTTGGGGAGTATATTGACCTTGTGTATTTGGACCCTTACGGGAGTGAGCAATGCAGCTTCTACACTCGTTGCTTGTGTTAGGGTTTAGGTTTCAGGGTGTCGGGTAGCACCTCAACAATACCCTAGCGACCGAAATAGGCCAAAGTAGATATCATGCATAGACTTTACGGCCTGAAGTAGACATTACTTACTTCCCCAGACCCCGCATAGTCTCAAACCCTAAATCCCTGAACCCTTAATCCTGGTCTAAGGTAGGTTTGAAGTCATCATTCCCATCTGCAGGAGTATTTGGGCCCTAAAGCCCCATTATTTGGGTCCTTGGACCCTTAGGGTTAGGGACATCTGAGGATTGGGATGGCGAGTTCATTCGGCGCTATTCGGCCGCGTCGGGTCGCGACGTTCATGAGGTGGAGAAGCCTTACCTGTCCAGTGGGCTCGGGCATGGGGATGAAGTCTAAGGTTTAGGCTTTAGGATTCGGGTGTCGGGTTCAGGCTTTAGGTTTCGAGATAAAGGATTTAGGCGTATGGTAGGGTTTAGGCGCTTAGGTTTAGGTTTTAGGGTGTAGGTTTCAGGATTTAGGGGGTTAGGGCAAACTTAACTTTTTAGGTTTGCGTTGTTGATGGACACAATGTCGCATCACTTTAGGTTGACTGTGGTACTTTAATCAGAGATTTGGTGTCATGTAGAACTATGCCACTTATTCAAATAAGCACAGCGATCAACGTTGGATAAGCCTTGAGCCTAGAACTTAACCTTGAACCCTGAACCCGAATCCGTAAGACCCAAGATGCTAGACGCCTAAGGAAGATTGTCCGCAATCGGGCGAAGTTCGAAATCGAGGAGAATTTCGATGAGTCCGAGCGCACCAAGGTGCTCGAGACCGTGGCGTCCCCAGGCTTTTATGAAAGCCTGGAGCCAATGCCAGGTGGGGGTTTCCCAAAACTTAGGGGTACCTTTATGGGTGTCCCAAGAATCAGCTTGAGAATTATAGTTTAGGAGGACCCCCCCCCAAGCCTGTAATGGTGATATAATAAGAATATAAGAGGACCCTAATACAATCCCTATTATCCCTTATAGTCACTATTACTGGGTGGGGGGGGGGTCCACCTAACTTATAGTGTTTAGGGGTCTATATTATGTCTCCTTGTTTTGGGGAACTGGCAGGTGCCGTGGAAGCTCTGCAGGCGCTCGTGGCCGAGGGGGTAGATGTAAAGCTCGTCACAGCTCCCCACCCTACCTGTGCAGGCACGTGTGCGTTGGAGACTGGGCTACTGTTAAGGGAGCTATGGATGTTTTTGTATTGGTAAGGTTTTCCACGAAATGCGAACGAATTCACTCCCCTTGTAGAAGTATTAGCTTTTCATATAGTACGTAAGTATACTTCAACAGGATATTGAGTACAAGGGGGGTGGCGGGGGGTATTGGTCATTAAGTTCCTTAATCTGGGCAGCTTCCTGAAATATTTAATATTTTCCTAAATGGCTTTAATAGGGGACCCTATATAGGATTTGTTTTAAAGGGTTTTAGGCTCCAACCCAGTAATGGCAGCCCAGGAGAAGTACATCTCAGTGGAGCGTCTGTTTGGAGCGGCCTTCCAGGAGCGTCTCATCATCACCCGAGACAAGACACATGTGTCTCACTCTTGCTTACTCCATGGTTTAGGGTTTAGGGGTTTAGGGTTTATGGCTCCCACAAACCTAAAGTATGCATATACCATTTGCAGACGTTAGGGCCCCAAGCAGGTGTGATGTTAACTAACTTTGATCCCTAGGATGTGTAGTCTCATTCGGAATTATATTCAATTCTTAGTGTAGTGTAACCCTGGGGAACTATTGAAGATATTATTTTGTATTATGGGTCCAAAGAGATACACAGTAATACCTCAGTTCCCCCTGCGTTTTGTGTGATTTTATTTACGTTTCACGTGTGCTGGGCACCTTGATTGGCGCTCTGTGAGTGAATAGGTCTAAGGAGGCTACCGGGATTAGGTGAGAATTCAGCTGTAGGTGTCCAGTGAACCCCAGATAGGACAGGCTCTCTAAGAAACTGGTGCTCCTAGGGGGTCCCTTTTCAGGGTTTAGGGATTGGGGTTTAGGGTTTAGGATTAGGGTTTTGGGATTTAGGGTTTAGGGATTAGGGTTTAGGGTTTAAGGGGATCTGTCTTACTTGGGGGCACCTAAGAATGTACCCGAAGAATGGGGGACCGGATCACAATGACAGCCCTTGTATGACTCCCAGGGAAATAATCCTCTAGTAGTCCTTATCTATCAACCCTTGCCGTAAACCCTAAACAGCTGCCCTAGTACCCCAAAGTAAGGTTCAGGGAGACTTGTTGGTGGATGACAAGCCCCGCATCACTGGAAGCAAGCAGCAAACGTGGAAGCACGTGATCTTCAGCCAGTCCTACAACAAGGACATTGAGGGCAAGCCACGACTTTCATCCTGGTCATCATGGCGAAGTGTGTTTGCCGCGGCTGTGTGAGGAGGTGCTGTTAACTAGTTTGGATACCCTAGGGATCCATGTATGTAAATAATCCCTACATTGGGCCCCAAAGTCTGTAAATATTACCTACATTGGGTTATTTGGATCCCTAGGGATAGCTTGATGTCTGGGCATCGGCAAGAAAGCCTGACAGAATGAGTGTTGACTCGCTTCAGTGCCACTGTACAGCAAGCTCGGGCGTCCAATCCTTTTGCAGAAGGTCACTCTGTGGTCTTTCAGAATACATGCTAATTCAGAGATCGTTTTCCCAGCATGTTGTGCTCTTCTTTGCACTCCATATGGTGGTTTGCCTACATAGGGGGCCTCAATATACCCTAGGCTTTATCATAGGAACCCCCGAAGAGGTGCTCCTAATTTGGGGAAACCCCATATCCCTTGCTGGCGCTAATACTCATGTGCAGAGGGTGGTCGACCACGCCCAAATCTCTTCCAGGCTGCAGCTTCCGGCGGCGCCGTTACATTCGGCCGGAGCCAGATGTTTGCAAAACCGCGCCAGCTAATCTATACAGGTCCCAGGGATCCAAAAGCCCAGACGAGGTACCATTCATGCACTTTCCCTGAACCTCAAACCCTAAACCCTATAAAACCCAAAGTGGATATGATTTACAGACTTGGATCTCCGGGAGAGTGCCAGTCTAAGCCGGCATCCCTGTTCGCGAATTGCTCGTGGCTACTCCCTGACGACAGCACAAACAATGCACGCGCTGGTCAGGGTTTAGGGCTCAGGGTTTCGGGCTTAGGGTTAAGGGTTTAGGGTTTAGGCTTTAGGGCATGAAGTTTCAGGGGGCTCAATAAGTAAGTAGGTTATAAGTAGGGTTACAAGTTGCGCGTAGTTGGCGTTGGGTGCCTAGAATTCGTTTATAACCCATTTGCTAAGCCCCCCTAACCGTTTTCACAGACAGCAATTAATACTTAAGGTAGCAAAGCAGGTTTAGGGTTGAGGGGTCAGGGTTTCGGTGATTGCCTAAGCTTCGCCTTCACCGTTGCCCCTAAACCCTAAACCCTGCGTGGATGAGATCTTGCACCACCTTGCACACCCTGACCCTTCAATTCCGAAACCCTAAAACCCCCAATCCCTAAACCCTAAACCCCGGCAATTTAGAGTATGTTGGAGGATCCCCTAGTGGTGCTTACACTGCAGGAACACGATATAAGGTTCAGGGCTCTAGGGTTTAGGATTGCAGGTTTGAGGGCTCAGGATTAAGACGCACAGCACACTCTCATTGTCAGTTGCACAGCGGCAAGAAGGGCTTAGTTCCTACGAGGCAGCCAACAATTAGGTAAGAGTCATGATGTCCGTCCCGTTTCAGAGCATACACTTGAGCTGGAGTCAAGTTGACACACTTGACTGTATGGTGAGCCCCTGGGTTTAGGGTTTAGGGTTGCGCATAGTTGGAGCTTCAGCTCAGGATCCCAGGCGCAGCTGTCAAGCAAATTGAGGCCAAACTGGTGGCTAGCTTTTTCATGAATGCCTGCATGAAAAGTCTCCGTCCGCTATGTGGACGACACAGATGGCAATAAGCCGGGGGATAACAGTCTATCTAGGATGCCCACATACGACCTGGACACATGGTACTTTTTAACATGACTTGCTCGCATGGATCAGGAACTGTTATTGACCCTTCGGTGTAAACCCTAGACCCGAGACCCCTAAACCGCTAGACATTAAACCCCAGATCCTATACCCCTACACCCCTAGACCTTAAACCCTCGACCCAAAAACCCCTAAACCTTGAACCTCAAAACTTTAAAGCCCTAAACCTGAAACCTTTAGCCCAAAACTTTAATTGAGATCTGATTAAACTCGTTTAAAATTCGAATGAGGGACTGTTTCAAATTATGGCCTCATGAGGGACTCTTTCAAATTAGGGCCTTATCACGGACTGTTTCAAATTAGGGCCTCATCAGGGACTGTTTCAAATTAGGGCCTTATTATGGACTATTTCAAATTAGGGCCTGATATTGACTATTCCAAATTAGGGCCTTGGAATCTGTTTCTGGAATTTGTCTATACACATTTCTTTTTTTGAAACATAAAAAAAAAACATTCAAAACCTAGGAAATTCAGGAGATCCCTAATCTTTAAGAGTTGTGCTAAAATCCACCTAATTCAGAGAATCCGAGCTGCAGCTAACTTAGTCTTGATCCCTTTAAAAGTAGTCTTGGGGGCAGATTTCAGAGTCTGGAATTCTGGCAAACCCGTATTTGATATTGGGGGGGGGGGGTTAATATTAGCGGGAAGTGATGACACTGAAAAAGCTGCAATCCTACCCCCAATTTTCCAAATCATTAGATTTGAGAAGATGCGCGCACGCTCGATCTCCAATCCCCCAAGGCCTACATGAGCTACTGCGACCCTTGCAAAAGTAGAAATATGGAATCTAATGTACTGGAGAATGGAGAATAAGGAAGAAATTGAAAAAATGAAATGGAAAGTGGGCTTGTGGGTACGGTATTGTAACTCTAACCCTTATTTCCATCATTGAGCAAGAAGTCTCAGCATAGGTCGTTAAACGCGTACGTATGCCAAGACCTCTCATCCTATTGCGTCAGGGTTAGTATCCTGCCAGGGTTGAAGTACAGCTCTGATCTCACATCCCAAGCCAAGGCCGTAAATCCTGGAACTCCGAATCACAAGTATTCACATTCAAGGGTGTAGGGTTCAGGGTTTATAGCCCTCAGCATTAGACCCTAAACCCTAAAATCCTGGAACCCTAAACCCAAAAACCTGAAACCCTAAGCCCTAAACCCAAAAACCCTAAAGCGCGCGGAAGCAGGAATGCGAGAGGGAAGAGCAGTCGCAGAGCCAAGAGGAGGAGAGGAGAGAGCGGCATGCAGAGCACCGAGGCAGCGGCAACGTAGTAGGGCTTGGGGTTTTGGGGTTTAGGGTTATGGGGTTTATAGGGTTTTGGGTTTTGGGGTTTAGGATTATGGGGTTTAGGGTTTAGGGTTCAGGGCTTAAGTTAATATAGGGGGTTTAGGTTTTGAGGCTTATATCAGGGGGGGGTAGTTGAAGGTTTATGTGGGGGGATTTAGGTTCAAAGGCTTACGTAGGGGGTTGAGGGTTTAAGGCTTATATAGGGTTTCAGGGTTTGAGGTTTATGTAGGGGTTTAGGGTTTAAGGTTAATGAAGGTATTAGGAATTAAGGTTTACATAGGGGTTTAGGGTTCTGGGGTTAGTGTCTAAGATTTAGAGTTAAGGGCTTCGGTTTAGAGGGTTTAGGGTCAATGATTTAGGGTGCAGGGTTTAGGGGCTTAGGCCTCAGGGTTATAGCGCTTAGGGCTGAGGGGTTTAGGATTTCGCGCAAAAGCTTGGCGGCTTTAAGTTTTCCAGCACGGAACTTGAATGAGTTGCCATAGTGGAAAACTGTAATATCTGATGTGGCTTCCTTAGTATGATAACTTAAGTCCAGTCCTTTTACAGCCACCAAGTTTTGGGCTTTCGAGTTTAGGGGTAAGGCTTTAGGCTCTGCTTTATCTATAAGCACTATGGCTTATGCAGGGTTTAGGGTTCAAGATTTAGTAGTTTCCCAAAACAAAGGAGACCGCAATATAGACCCTGATATACCATGGTCCTGATTGAGGGACACCCAAAAAGGTACACTAATTTTGGGAAACCATATTTACCTTTTTTTTCGTGAGTCCATAGCCTCCTCCGGAGATGAGGATCTTCAGAAGGCATTCTGCGACGTCCAATCTCTACTTGGAGGATCTCTTGACTTAGTTAGTTTGCTTCATAACGCCGGTTATAATTATAGGGCTTATAATTGGGGATATTAGGGATAGTGGGAGACTTACTAAGTCAAAAGACCATCCAAGTCGGCTCTATCTGTATCAGTTGTCGAGGCGCCTCGTGCCGCACACGGCCCACAGGAACAATCTTGAGCAGCACGACGACGCTTTTGTTTGATGGATACATGAGTTGTGGCTAAGCTCATCAGCTTAAATTAGTTGTTTTGAACCTGCTCGTTCCAGACGTTTGTCGGGATTTTAACGATGCCTTGGGAGCTGTTTGGAAGTCCAACTTGGTAGGAATGTTAAGACGCATTCCTACACCCCACACCCATAGCGACAAGGCTTGTTCAGGATTCTCCATGCGTGGCGGGGTGTGGCCTCAATCTGAAGAAGACTTCTGAGCTACAGCCCACCCATTGTAAACAACATCATACTCTAAGGCAGTTTTTGGTTGAGGGTTTAGGGGTTTAGGTGCGATACCTGGGGGTATTTTTGTCTGGCGTCCCGTAGACTTCGGTTTGAGGGTTTTTTTGGCAAAGGAGGTTAATAATCTTGATTGGTTCTGGTTACCCAAGAAACAAGGACCCCATAGTCAGAATGATAGTTTTCTAGGGTCCTCATTTTAGGTACCGGGCCGGCAACAAAAACCCTCATCACCTGATATAAGTCCCTGGAAACCCCTAACCCCAGTGTCCATGTTCTTTTCCATCTTTTGCAGTTGATTCTCCATCTCTGGGGGAACCAGAGCCCTTGCATTCTCTATTATAGCACACCACACAACCCTTATGTAACCACAGTTCCCGTGTCCCCAAATCAGACTACAGAAAATTAGCATAATCTTATACAAGCCCTACTTAACCCGGCTGAGGTAACCAACAAACCTCCCTAGCAACCCAAAATCCTAAACCCTAAAATAAAGCACATGGTAGCAAAGACGCGTTTAGTTGTCAGCTCTTTGTTGGGGTTAGGGTTTAGCTACATGTAATTTGCCACAATGGGGGGACCCAAATAAAAACACCAAACTATTGTAGTCCTTATTTTAGGTACCCCCAAAAAGGTCCCCTAGTTAGTGGGAAGCCATCACATCAGGGCCCGCGAGCAGAAGAGTTGTTAGCATGCCCAAACTTTCTGTTTAGGGTGTAGGGGCCTGGGGGGGGGCCTGGGTTTAGGGTTAAGGACTCTAGGGGGTTGGGGTTCAGGGCCAACCCTATACCCTCCAGCAAGAGCTTGGGCATGTAACCCAC